GTTCTTTACAAAAGCATAATTGTTTCCCTCTGTTTTCATAATTAACTGGGAATGCTATGGATAGCAGTTTTAGGTGTTGAGTCTTTGCAATCTAAAAGTTATAAATATGCCCATAGGTGATGTACATATCACTTGCTGGTTTATGCTAATGAAGAAGGGTGTTTTACCTGAAAGACTGTCTAGTACTGAATAAAGTAACTGCAAGCTTGCATTCAAGATTTACAATCATAGATGTGGATACATTTTCTAATCAATTAATTCAAACATTTTAAAGCAATTACTCTCCTCTTGAATTTAGAACAGAAGTATGCATTACCTGGCATATATCTGTTTCAAACTCCAAAGAAGAGTATCTTTAGGTTAAGATAGCAATCCTTAATGAGAATTAAGTCTAGCTGAAACTGTTCATGCTTGGGCAGAATGTTTTACTGTGATTTTTAGTTCATTAGAACTCCTGAGTGATTTTGAATTTATTTGGCTAAAGTGTTGAGGTTTTATTTCTCTCGCAATAATTTATGGATAACTTGGGCTTCCCATCTGCCATTTGATGCCTTAGAAATCAGGCAAGCAGGCAACATGTGTCCAGCTGTCTGTCATTCTAAACCAGTCACGAGGGAATGTGCTGGAGTTTTGCCACTTGACTTGTTTCCTTCTGAAATTACTGTCCTCGATATCTCTTTCAAATTAGTTGTTGGACAGCAGAACCTCTGTACTGTAATTTAGCAGAGAATGGAATCTTGTGATTTCTTGGTACATTCTTACATTGTACGTTGAGAGTAACTTTGCTGATTACCAGTTTAGACCTGACAAACTTGTGTTAATGGAAAAATGGAAAGAATATCATAATGGTAACAGACTGCCTTTTCAACTTGTGCTTCCTGTGATTTTTCCATTTAAATTGCAATGAGCGGCCCTTCTAGATATTTTTAGTCTCTTGTATACTTTGTTTGTAAGTGAAATACAGAGAGTTGGATAATGTTGCACGTGAATGTCATATGCAGACCCCAAGTTCTGAACGTTGTTTAGAAATGGTGGAAGAATTGTAGATATTCTGAGAATTTCTTCAAATCTGGTTGACAAGTACTCGCAAAATTTGAAGTAATATAACAGCTTATATATTCCAAATGTAGGCCATTCATTTAGAACTAGCACAGTAAAATAAAGTGCCTAGGAATTTGAATAATAATATGGTTTTCTTTCCTGCAACTTAGTGGCCTGAAAATTGTATTTGCTGATGCTCTTTGAAAATCTACAACAATGTTTAGTCTTATTTTTCAGATTTACATTGATAAAATGTTATGAAATTATTAATATGCTTGTAATTTACAAGAATCAGACCAATTTTTTTCTAACATCTCCAGTTTTGAAGGCACCAGCTTGATCTGATTTTAAGACTAGAATGTTTTGTCTTTAGTCTAGAGAACCTGTATATCAGAGGTTCCCAAATTGTGGTTTGTGACCCCTACTTTTATTATTTTTGTGTTTTTGAATTACTAGCCCAATGAACTGTTTAAAATAAGTGCAAAGGAAAGACTTATTTTAACCTACACCAATAGTCAAAAGAAGCAAGCTGTTTGTCCATCTCTCAGCAGCAACATATTTTATGCTTGTCATAGTTGTGACCTGTGCAGTGAAACTAATTTTAAAGGTTTGTCTAAATGAAATTAATAAAAAAGAATCGGCAGAAATAATTGTTGAACGAGTGGCACTTTGAAAATGACAAAGATAAGTTTTATTTTAGTATTTTAAAAATGAAGTACAAAGTGTTAGAAATGACCAGAAAGATTCAAGGGAATTAGGTATATTTTATTTGTTAGTTTAAGAGGTTTGGTACTTCATGCTATAAAACAGAGACCTTAGGGTTATAAATTCAACTTTGTAACAATGAGTCAGCTTGACACATATCATCAGAAAGTGGTTTCTCTTAGGAAAGCCATTTGTAACAATGGGTCAGTCATGGTTGAATAAATTTTGCTCTAAGGGACTTGTATTAAAGCAAATTAGTTAGCATAGTAACACATACATTTTAAATGATTAGTTTTACCGTGACACACAATTTATGAAGCATTCCACTTTTAAGTGAAGTGTTCACCTTGCATGAATACTTCCAAATACACCACCCTTTTTCATGTGTCCTTGGGTTTGTAATGACAGGCCAGACTGAACACAAGGAGACACTTATGGTACAAACAGGAGTTTAGCGGAAAGGAGTAATAAATTATCAAGGGCATCATGTACCAGAAATGTTTGATAATGGATTGCGATACCATCCTTGAAGTAAACTTGGGTGCTCACAAATAATTGCAGAGGGAAAAAGTAACATTCTATACTGCTGTTTAAATGAAGTGTCAAAACTCTTGCAGCACAAAATCCATATGCTGGTAGCAATGTATTAGTGTTGTATTATGAACAAAAATCAAGCTGATCATCTCAGCTTCACTTCACCACGGACATTCTTCCGGATAGTACCTAATGTACAACCATCTTCAGCTGCTTCATCAATTCTCTTTCCTTCACTATAAGCTCAGAAGTGGGGATGTTCACTGATGTTTGTTGATGATAGCACACTGCTCAGCATCATTTGGCCTTCTGCAAATGATGACTCCCCTTCTTCCTGAAGAAGTTGTGTTCATATGTGGCAAGACTTGGGCTGCATTCAGGTTTGGGCTGACAAGTAGCAGGTAGTATTTCTGTCACACAAGTATGAGGGAATAACCACTTTGAACCAGGGTGAATCCAACTGTCACTGCCTTCACATTCAGTGGCATTTCCTTTCACTGAATCCCCCGCTGTTAACATGGTAAACCAGGGACACGTTAGCTCCATTGCCCAGAAACAACTGAAATAGCTGCCTTAATACTGTGACTGCAAAAACAGGTCAGAGGCTAGGAATTCTGTGGCAGGCACTCCCTTTCTATCAGCAAAGCCTTTCCACCACCTAAAGGTCACTGGTGAGGAGTTACTAGAATACTGTGTGCTTGCCTGGATGAGTGCGACTCCACTATCACTCCTGAATCTTGTCAGCATCCAGGACAGAATAGTCTGCTTGATTGACATCGCATCCACCACCTTTATCTTCCAGTTCCTTCACTACTGACAGGCATGGTAACAGTATGTACCAATGGCAAAACATACAGCAACAACTCTCAAAGTTTCCATTGAGAGTACCTTCCAAGTCTCCAGCTTCTACCACCTAGAAGGATAAGATCAGCAGATATATAGGGACACCATCAGCTGCAAGTTCCACTTCAAACCAGACAGGTCTTGACTCAGAAATATATCAATCGTTCCTTCACTGTCACTGGGTCAGAATCCTGCATCTCCCTTCCTAAGAACACTGAGAGAGTGCCTATATCACATGGACTGCAACAGTTCGAGAAACAGTTCACCACCACATTCTCTAGGGTGGCTAGTGATGGATGACAAATGCAGGCCTACCAGAGGTGCTGACCCACCCCCCATGAAAGAATAAAAAGCATATCATTTGAAGCCTTAAGTAAGTTCATTTGTTGTGCTATGAGTCTATTTTTATTTTATGTATTGACTGCAGCAAGTTCCTAACTTTTGAGGAGCAGCTCATTTGGATATTAAAATGTTGTCCCCCTACATTTCTCAAAAATGGGAGTTGCTGGAGAAACCTAATCAAATGCTCAGCCGTGATGGTCCTGTGGCCTTCTAGGAAAACAGTTATGTATTTACCTGCTTGATTGTTGCACTGAACATTTCATGAAACGACTGAAATTAGGTTTTATTTATTATGTTCTAGGCAGATTTCATAACCATTATATTTCAGACACGGATTTTCTGTTTTTTTTCCTATTACTTTGTGTTTGTTTTAACTTTGAATTTCATTTTCAAAATGAAAGTGATGTTGTCAGTACTCACCATCCTTATGGTGAAAATAAGGAAGCACAGTTGCAGCCAAAACTGGATTTTGTGAAGCAGCTGCCCAATCCACCCCCATCCTCTCATTTCTCCGAAATGGCCAGGAGAGAACATTAAATAACACAAGATTTGAAGTTTTGGAGATTATTCATGAGTTATCTTCAAATATGTGTTAATAGTGATCAACTTTGTCTCACCACCACCATTCTCAACTCTGTTTTTGGTAAATTGTAAGTTTGATTGCCTAACATCCACTACTGGTGGATGCCCAAAAGCCCACTTATTGTCTGCAGGTTGTTGGATGTACAATAAACAGTGATCACAGTGCTTTTGCTGTGCAAAATCTGAGTGAATGCATTTCATTTTTGCTTTAATGGAAATCTCTTGTTGAAACCATTTCAGTGAGGTAGCTGTAGAAAGTCATAAAGAATCCTTTATTTTGAGGAGGGGCAGGGAAGAGTGAAAGATTTAAATGGACATCTATTCTTCCACTGAATTATGTGTATCATCATATCGTTACAGAAAAGTGTCGATTTCAAGCCTTTCGTTATGTCCAGAATCTTGATTTCAAGTTAGAAATAAAGTTTTACAAAGTTGCATACTGTTAAACTAATGATTTATAGAGAATCAGTCTTGGCTATTGCATCTCACTTTTTAAACAAGAGTTGGAGACCAGGGAAATACAGCTCTATCTCTCTCCAACCAAGTATCATCTCTTGTATTCCTGCTTGATGGCATAACTGTCAACCTGCAGGTTTGACAGTTTTGTTATCCTGCTCTTAAAGGATTTTTTATATATTTGTGTTGTTTTCTGTGGTGGTTCAGAAGTTGAGGGCAATTTTAAGCAACCTCTTATCCTTGTGACATTTTTGGCTCCATTTTTAGGCCTTGTATTTGAGATAATCCTGTAGCAAGTTTCTGATTGTTGAAGATTTTAGATGCTACTTTTATTGCCTTGCTAAACTGCATCTCTGTCAAGGTAATACGCCTGTGTGACCAACCAAAAATCCTAGAAAATTAGTCATTTAAAGCCAATCTCCAGTCCTTGATTTTGTTGAGTTAATGTTTGGTTAGTATTTTAGAGTGATTAGCAAGAGATTTAACATGCATAATGCATGGGCAACTGTTCTATTACACTTCCTCACAGGAGAGAATGTCTGCTTACAGACTGTTCCAAGGTATGTTTCTATTTGCTTTATCAACTTCACTTTGCCCCCAATTGACAGCATTTCAGACTTTCTCATAGGTTTAGACGTACTGTCAGGGCATGAATGTCCTTTCATTGAGAGATCTCGATGTTGAATGATGGCTTGTCTGTGATTTTGCTCTCTGTGTGGCCTAACTCTACTCCGATTGGTTGGCACAGTCATATGACAGGTGTGCCTGAGTTTGGCTATTCCAGCATTAACAGTCTGGAATAACAGATAACAGGGTGTAGAGCTGGATGAACACGGCAGGCCAAGCAGCATCAGAGCAGCAGGAAGGCTGACGTTTCGGGCCTAGACCCTTCTTCAGAAATGGGGGAGGGGAAGGGGGTTCTGAAATAAATAGGGAGAGAGGGGGAGGCGGAAAGAAGATGGATAGAGGAGAGGATAGGTGGAGAGGAGACAGACAGGTCAAAGAGGCGGGGATGGAGCCAGTAAATGTGAGTGTAGGTGGGGAGTTAGGGAGGAGGTAGGTCAGTCCAGGGAGGACGGACAGGTCAAGGGGGCGGAATGAGGTTAGTAGGTAGAAGATGGGGGTGGGGCTTGAGGAGGGGATAGGTGGGAGGAAAGACAGGTTAGGGAGGCGGTAGGGGGAGGGGAGATTTTGAAGCTTGTCAAGTCCACATTGATACCATTGGGCTGCGGGGTTCCCAAGCGGAATATGAGTTGCTGTTCCTGCAACCTTCGGGTGGCATCGTTGTGGCACTGCAGGAGGCCCAGGATGGACATGTGGTCTAAGGAATGGGAGGGGGAGTTGAAATGGTTTGCGACTGGGAGGTGCAGTTGTTTACTGCGAGCCGAGCGTAGGTGTTCTGCAAAGCTGTTCCCAAGCCTCCGCTTGGTTTCCCCGATGTAGAGGAGGCCACAATGGGAACAGCGGATACAGTATACCACATTAGCAGATGTGCAGGTGAACATCTGCTTGATGTGGAAAGTCTTCTTGGGGCCTGGGATGGGGATGAGGGGGGAGGTGTAGGGGCAGGTGTAGCACTTCCTGCTGTTGCAGGGAAAAGTGCCGGGTGTGGTGGGGCTGGAGGGGAGTGTGGAGCAGACAAGGGAGTCACGGAGAGAGTGGTCCCTCCGGAAAGCAGATAAGGGTGGAGAGGGAAAGATGTCTTTGGTGGTGGGGTCGGATTGCAGATGGCGGAAGTGTCAGAGGATGATGTGTTGATCCGGAGGTTGGTGGGGTGGTACGTGAGGACGAGGGGTTTCTGTTTTGGTTGTTATTGCGGGGACGGGGTGTGAGGGATGAGATGCGGGAAATGCGGGAGACACTGTCAAGGGCGTTCTCGACCACTGAGAGGGGGACGTTGTGGTCCTTGGAAAAACGAGGACATCTGAGATGTACAGGAGTGGAATGCCTCATTCTGGGAGCAGATGCGGCAGAGGCGAAGGAATTGGGAATAGAGGATGGCATTTTTGCAAGAAGGTGGGTGGGAGGAGGTGTACTCTAGGTAGCTGTGGGAGTCGGTGGCTTGAAATGGATGTCAGTTTCTAGGTGGTTGCCAGAGATGGAAACGGAGAGGTCCAGGAAGGAGAGGGAGGTATCAGAGATGGTCCAGGTGAACTTCAGGTTGGGGTGAAAGGTGTTGGTGAAGTGGATGAACTGTTCGAGCTCCTCGTGGGAGCACGAGGCGGCGCTGATACAGTCATCAATGTAACAGAGGAAGAGGTGGGGTTTACGGCCAGTGTAGCTATGGAAGAGGGATTGTTCCACGTAACCTACAAAGAGGCAGGCGTAGCTTGGGCCCATGCGGGTACCCATGGCCATCCCCTTTGTAGGAAGTGGGAGGAATTGAAAGAGAAGTTGTTGAGGTCTGGAACTTCAGCTTATCACCAGCATTGTCCTCTTGCATTTCCAGTTCTGCCAGTGAGACTGCCAGGTATCCTATCATTTGAATGAAATGTTAAGCTAAAGCATCAGTTGTCCTCTTGTGAATGTAAAAGATCCAATAACACTAACTGAGCAGGGAATGTTCTCAGTATTCAGTCCAATATTTATTTCTCAATTAATATCAATAAAATAGATTATCTTACCATTTGTCTTGTTGTATGGGGGACTTACTGAGTAGCAAGCACATTTTTGTCTTGCAAAAGTGGCCTGTCCTACTTTGATTAGAGTTGATTTATTATTGTCACGTGTACTGAGATAGTGAAAAGTATTGTTTTGCATGCTAACCAAACAAATAATACCTTACATAAGTACGTCAGGGTAATAGAACAGAATGCAGAAAATAGAGTTTATGAAAGATGCCATAAGACAGAAAATGCTTTCATTTTGGTAGATTAACAGAAAAGGTGAAAAAAAGAAACAGGATTTAAAAAGGACGTTAATCTAAATGTTACCAACATTTTGTTGCTAGGAGCTAAGTAGAATTTTATCAAAATAGCTGTTTATACAGGGGCCTGAACAAGTGACTGTAGGTTATTTTATATGAAGGGTATTACAACTGAGTCTGTATTTGCACTTTGCGATTCAGATAACTAAAGTAAAATTAGCATGGGCGTTTTCATTTATTCTTTCTGCATATATACTCCAAGGCCCCTTCTAGACCTTTTTTTTATTAAACTTTTTTTTGTTTAGAGCACATTTTCACTTCAGAGGTTTTCTGGATTGTTTAACTGCTTACTCACAATGAGATGTTTTTAGTTGTATGTTATAAGAAGGCTGACTTGAAAACACTAACAAAAAAAGTGACGATGTTTCTACACCTCTACTGTTGGTTTTTCTAGGAAAAACAAATTTGGAAAATAGTGAAAAAATTTATACCTTTATGATGAGATTTAATTTGGGTTTCGTGAATGTTTTGCTATCTTTTTCTAGTATTTCTTTCTTTCCTAGCAGCCACTGGCCTAGTTCTGTGCTGTTTTTGAGTAGGCCAAATTGTAGTGATAATGAGTTTTAAAGAAACATTTACAGCTGTTTCAGAGCTATAACATTCTTTTTGAATATTATAGATTTGTAACAAATATTAATTTGTCATAATGTATACATGTGATTGCAGTCCGAATTTGTTTGTATAGCCAAGACCTTTTTTTTTATTTTGTAGAAACTTGATGAAAAAGAACAGGATAAAATAAAGAAAACAACAACAAAAAAGACAAAAGTCAAAGAGGCAAAGAAGGTCCTGAAGAAAAAATTTAAAGTGAATACAAAAGTCACTTTCAATGAAGAGGGAGAGGTGAGTTTCAGGTAGAAACATAAACAAGTAGGTTATTTTTGTGACTGATTTTGTTGCACTAATTAAACTTTAGTCTGACATTTTATGTAGAATATATTTTCGCACAGTAAGAAATAAGTTCTTAAAAAATTGAACTGAATTGGAAATGATTATATTGGACTTGAAATGTTAACTCTGTTTCTCTGTCCACAGATGCTGCTAGACTTGCTGAGTTTCTTCAGCACTTAAGTCTTTATTTCGGATTTACAGCATTGTTGTATCTCACTTTTAGTATAGAAAATGAAGTGCTTGCTAAATGAGATGAGACAGCAGGTAGTCACAAATACATGTTTTGAATCACGTGGTACACATCAAAAACTTATCAGAATGAATCCTTTTGAAAAATCTTTGAATTTTCCTGTAGGCAGTCTTTTCTCAGAAGCTGTTGGGAGTCTTTTCAAATTCCTTGTCTTAACAGCCTGGCCACTTATTCATATACATTATCTTCACAAAGTTATCTTGAAGTCGTGAAAATTGTCACCAGTTCGATGTAAAAAGTTTTTCTTTATTAAATCTACATTTAAAGCAATTGCATCACAGAGTATTTGTGCAAAATCTAAATTTTTGTCATACTTAACTAACTTGGGTTAATTTCATCTTAATATTGGATTTAATCATATCCGTTAAATTAATAAATATTTGAATATGGCAAGTGAAACGGACATAAATGTAATTATTATATTATTTGAGGTATGGTTAGCTAGTACAGTTACTGTTAGTTTATTCATACTATGTTTAATCACATTGCAGAACATGTGATTTTGGAAATGACATTTTTCCTCTCCAGTTTTTATCTTGTCAACCAAGCTCTATGTTGTCATTTCTAGATCTAAAAGGAATCAATTCTGGTCAGTTTTCCAGTAGTGCTGCTAATGTTGCTCTGTATCAAATGTTGCCTTTTTTGGAGAGTGATATACTTAATTTCCTGTTTCCTGCAATGTTCCTAATTCAATCATGTAACAATCAGCTGATAAATTTAGGAGGTATTGTATGAATATGTCTGTCCTAAGCAAAATGCACTTCAACTTGTTGCTACTTAATCAACTCAATTGAAAGGCTAAGGTAAGATGCTACCAAGGGTTTTAAGGAGAGAGGAAAAACTCGAGGGAATCTTTGGACAAACAGAAAGCGGCAACAAGAAGAGTCATTAAGTAAAATAATGATGAGAGGAATCTTGATAGCTACCACTGTAAGTTTGGTGGCAAATCATTTGGTGAAAAATTGTTTAGAAGTGCTTGTGGCCAAACTCTGAAAGTGGCTTTCGAGATGTATGAGGTAGTAAAAGATTATTCACCAAGGTACTTGAAAGCAGAGTTTCAAATGCATAACAAAAAGAAAGCTAACACTAGCATAAGTGGCCATTTCAAAGACATTGCCAGATATTGTAGAGTGCACAGAGATTCTGAAGATCATGGCTAATTTGTTAGTTAACAGCAGCTTTTAAAAAGCGAGAAAATACTGGCTGAATAGGTTTCTAGTCAAGCCAATAGGAATATTATCTTCATAGCAAAAGGAAGCTGGATTAACTAAAAGTTCAAAAAAATATAGAAGTGGTGCCAAAGGGCACAGTATGTTTATGAGAAATGTATTTCAAGGATTGGGAAAGCCAGAGCTAGAGCTGTGTTTGGACTCCAGCTACCAGAGGATACATCAGCTCTGAAAGGGAGTGGGAGTAGAAAAGTGAACCAAAATGTTGCCTTGCTCTTTAGGAGGGCTAGAAGGCTCAGGATGGATGGTAATTGGAATGGAGAATTTAAACATTCTGTGAAATATTATCTTTGAAAGGGACTAGGGAATTAGAAGTACAACTGTTTAAGGGTCGAACAGACAGCAATTAATATTTTTCACTGTAACTCTGTTTAGCATTTCTTATAAGTGAATCAAAAGAATTTGCAAGCAGATTGAGCTTTGGATATTGAAACTAGTTAAAATACAGATTCAACACGAGACTAAAACAGTAGGGTCATTCATCAAATGAAAGGATCATTCCTTTACTCACTTTACATGATATTCCACATCTTACGACAATGAATGTCTGCAGGAATTAGTTACTCAGGTTTTTGTTTACTTTTAAGAAATTATTTGAGTGTTGACATGGGTTTGGAGATTTGAACCTGATTTTTTTCTCTAAACTTAATGCTGAATGATATATAAAAAAAGCTATACCTCTCAGTGATATGAATTCCTTAAATACTGAACATTGCTTGCCTTTTGGTTTGTTGCTTTATAGGAATCTATTGAGTGTGGTTTAATGTCAATTTCCCCTACCGGACTCCCTATTTTAAAAAATAATTGTGCACATTCTGTTGATCTCATTGTGGAAAGTAATTGATTTAAAGTTTGGATTAGAATTTGAATTTAGACCGCAAACTTCGTTCCAAAGCTGACTTTAAGATATTGGTGAGTCATTATTTTTATAATGGGTGTTGCATGAAGAATGTGCATTTATTTTTATGTTTAGAACAATAACTTCTTTCAATAATTGATTCTGACAATTTGTTCATTAAGATCACAGTGGGAGCAATTGTTAAGTAATGGTTAATATCAGTCTTTTTATTTTACCATTAACACTTCACACAATTTCTATTCTGAAGGTGATTCAGCAGTGGCCACCAGTACAAAAGAGCAAACTAGATAATGACCAGGATGATGACAAGGGAGGAATAAATATGGAGAAAGCAAAAGAAAGGCTACGAGAAGAGGACAAATATGACAAAGAAGCATATAGAATGAAGATAAAAGAAAAACATCGAGTAAGTGTCATCTGGTAATTTTAAAAAATTGGACTATAACACGAATATTTAAAATTGTTCATTGAGAAAAGAACAGCTTTGAAGTTTATGTTGAAAGTAGCATGGATAATGGAATGAACTGGATTCAATATCGCCTCTCAGAAAAGGTTGAGGAATAAATTTATACACTTTTCTGATTAATTAGATTTTTTAAATTTAAAAAAAACTTTGAAATAACTTTCAATTTACCCAAGGGCAGCATAATTTTCATGTGCACAGCTGGCTAGGCTCTTTTCCACAGTGCAGTCTGCCAGAGATCTGAGAGAAACTGGTATCTCTGCTGCCTTTCTCACTCTGTATGCCAGTCCCGTTGTTATCGACTCCCCCACCCCCAACTCCCTTGACTTATGGTAGAGCTTTCCGTTTGCTTACTGGACAAACCTCACTCTAGATCGATACCGATTCTTTTGTCCATTCTGTAAAGAAAAGATAGAATTTGTTTTTATCATCTCTGAGCAGATGAAAGATGAAAGGATGAGGATTATGAGCAATGATGAACACTTTAGCTGTAATACAATGCTTACAAGCTTTAGAAAATGCACTCTCAAACTTGTATTTTTTCTTGGATTAATTTCTTATTTGCTGGAAAAGATTAGGGTTGATTAAATTTCTCCTCAACTCCCTGTTGGTATAAGTCAGCAAGTATATCTTCTCTGAGTGAAAAAAAAGGTATTCAATTACCAAGCTGCCAGTGTAATTCTCAGGCGAGGCTGAACCTACAATCTGATTGGACTGCGTTACTTAAGTCTTAAAGCAATCTCTGCATTGAATCGAAAATTTGAAAATAACATCAAAAAATCCAAAAAATACTCCGGTCTGGCAGCATCTGTCGAGGGAGATACAGCATTAATGTTGCATACCTGTGCCCTTTTGTCAGAACAGTTCTCATGGAAAGTCTGGACCTGAAAATTATCTCTGCTTCTCTTTCCATTAGATTCTGTCAGACCTGAGTATTTACAGTATTCAGAGATAGTAGGAACTGCAGATGCTGGAGAATCTGAGATAACAAGGTGTAGAGCTGGATGAACACAGCAGGCCAAGCAGCATCAGAGGAGCAGGAAGGCTGACGTTTCGGGCCTAGACCCTTCTTCAGAAATGGGGGAGGGGAAGGGGATTCTGAAATAAATAGGGAGAGAGGGGGAGGCGGATAGAAGATGGATAAAGGATAAGATAGGTGGAGAGGAGACAGACAGGTCAAAGAGTCGGGGGTGGAGCCAGTAAAGGTGAGTGTAGGTGTGGAGTTAGCAGGGGGATAGGTCAGCCCAAGGAGGACGGATAGGTCAAGGGTGGGGGATGAGGCTGGTAGGTAGGAGATGGGGGTGGGGCTTGAGGTGGGAGGAGGGGATAGATGGGAGGAAGGACAGGTTAGGGAGGCAGGGACAAACTGGGCTGGTTTTGGGATGTGATTGGGGAAGGGGAGATTCTGAAGCTTGGGAAGTCCACATTGATACCATTGGGCTGCAGGGTTCCCAAGCGAAATATGAGGTGCTGTTCCACTATTTCCAGTATTTTCTGTTTCTGTTTTCAGCATTGCAATATTTTGCATTGGCTCAAAAAATCTAGAATCTGCATGAATTCTTTTCCAACTGAGTTACATGTAGGTTTCTTTCAAACACTGAGTTTCTTTGTCTCGTGTGCACCTCAGAGTCCCAAGTCACATTGAGAGGAAACACATGACAGTTCAGCAGCAATTTCTCTCCTTCCATAGGTCAAGGAAAATCCATTCACTGGACTTCTGCATTCTAATTGATGCACAGCACAAAATATTGTCATTGTCATTGTCAGAGATTGTCATAGCTCTCGAAACCTGTGTTCAAATCCTAAGAAAGTAAGTTGAGGCTTTTTAACTTGAATTGACAGAGTGACCTGGGTTGTGATAAGATGGTGGGATCAGTAATTTAAGACAATTGAAGATGTAGAATTTATTCTCCTTGTTATTTAGATATTTTTTAAAAATCATTTGGGTTTTCCTTAATTCTACCCACTTAGGCTTTCTCATTCGCTATCTTAAATTTTTTCATTTCCTTTCTTTATTTGGTTTTAATACACTTTTTATAATCCTTTAGGAAGAACTCTGCCATGTTCAGCCTTCAATAAGCTATTTTTTTCTTAATCCTAACCATTAAGTCTCTTGCCATTCAGGATTCTCCAATCGTGGTCCCACCGTTTTTCTTTACAGGAGCATATTTGACTTGTACTTCTGCTATTTCATCCTTACTATTTCTCGCTGCTGTAACAGTTTAGTGGCATTTCACCATACTGTCTACTCATTTAAATAGCCGTTGATTTAGGAATCTGACTTTTGTTTTCTGGGAGTACATTTGTTCTGAGTCCTTTCTTTCACCTCCTTGAACACTGGCACTGCTCGGACATTCATTTACCCTTGGGAAGCTGTGCTCAGTTCATTTTTGACAAATCACATTGGCCTTGCCTCAATTCAACACCTTTCGTCTTGGTCTAATTTTGTCCTTTTCTCTGAATTATGGTCTTTATAGCCATGTTATGATCACTACACCTTCCCAGCTTGATTTCCTGAAGCTAAATCCAGCAATGTCTCTTGTTGTTTTGGGTCTGCTACATTTTGGCTGAATGCAAACATTTTCCTTAATGTATTTTAAGAATTTTACATCCTCTATATAATTGTATCCCAATTAATCCCAGTGAATTGAAATTTCCTAGTATTATTGCTAAATTATTTCAACATTGTCATCAATTTATCTTCATACTTGTTTTCCTATTTTCCTTGGATTGGTAATCTATAGTATATTCTTGGGTTTCAGCTAAGTCCCATTGTAATACAAATTGGTTAATATCTGGTCCGAAGGCAGGCTGTGTTTAATGGAATCATTGACCACCTCCTATTCCTATGTATTCATTGCAAATCAATCAACCCTTCTAAATGTATTACAGCTGTCACAGTAATTTATATATTTTCAGTTGTGCATCATTCTATCAACAAGAAATCTCTTAACATCCCTGAGCCAAGTATCTCCAGACCCCAGACAGGTTCCCCTAAGTTATCATGGGTGCAAGTGGATTCCCCATATCACAAAGGTCCTGGGTGAGAATGAATATACTAGCTCCCTATCTTTTTTCTCCTGCCACTTCGGTTGCAACAAGATTAATTTAAAATGATCCTTCCCTTATGGGTAGTTTTCTCCCAGACAAAATGTATTTATGTTTTAAAAGGAGCAAATTTAACCAGGGTTTCTTGACATAACAAAAGAGTGAGTTTATTACTAATAAACATGGAAAGAAATAATAATGCAGCCCACATACACACAAATTGGGAATAAGAAATGAGTATAAAAGAGAACTTAAAAGATATACTGATCAATTTTTCTGAGTGGTTCATGAAGAGTAGATAGGATACTGATATTTAAATAGTCGATTTTGAGGCAGCCCCTCATTCGGTTTTTCTGTTGCATCTCTCTCTCTCTCCCCCTCTGTTTGAAGATTCCCTGATGTTCTACAGGTATAACCTTCCATGGGTCTTTGCCAGTCGGCAAATCTTTTTTTGGCCTGTAGAAGCCCCCTTTCTTAAGAAAACTTTTTGGAATTAAAGGTTGAAAAATTAGAATAATACTCTGGTCTGAAGCTTTGTCATGACAGGAGCAATGGATAATAAAGCAAGTGACCAAACTTGGCTTTTCTGCACAGGTTTTTTTTTTCTAACTTCTCTGTGTTGCAGATAGCTAATGTACTCATTTTAAATTTGGATGCAAGGTACTTCTGTTGTATTTCAGCCCCTGGAGTCATCCAGTATATATTCTACAAGCTATATTTCACTTAATTTGTTCCTGTTTCTCTCTGAGCATGCATTTAGATCAGTTAATTTTCTGTTTCTCAAAGGAATTCACTAGTCATAGGTGTTCTTCATTGTGCTGATGATGGCACTGAGGCATCAATTTTCTGGTACATTCAGTCTCTGTTTCACAACAAAATATCAAGCTCCTGTTTAATAACCTCTGCAGATTCATTTGCAATAGTCTGAGTCTTCTAAAAATTGCACTTGGTAATGTCTCTGAAACAGAGATCCAGGTCAGAATATATCAATCTTGAAATCTGCTACAGAACTTGCTGAGCATTGTTGAAATGAAATGACCAGACATCATCAGGTTGGCAGGTTGAAAACAAAATGCTTTACAAAATTATAAGTCAGAAGCTAGGCAAAAACAGGGATATGTGAAGAAAAATTGAAATTCTAAATTTCTGTAAGGATTGCAAAATATTAGTCCATTATTAACACACTTTTACATGTGGAGGGACTTATTTCAGTAAATGAGTGGGCTTCCTAATGTACAAGTATCTGAGATTTTATTGACAATGAAAGTAGAAAAACTCAAAATCAGTGTCCCAGGAAATTTTATTTACTCTCCCCTTTGAATAAGCTATCCCGTTGATAGATGGCAATCACATTATGATGTTTACAGAAGGAACAATGGATTGGCAGGAAAATTTGCATGATATAATATAAAAAGTTTAGCTAGAAATTATTTCCATAGATTACGAAGAGATCACTTGCAGAATCATAACAGGCCCTATAAAATGTCATAGATCAAGTAAAATCGAGAAGCTTAGAACTTGAACACCAGAAAAGAAAAGGTAACCTGAAGGAATCTGTTAGATGAACTAGTGAAGATTAAAGTGGATGCTGCCGATCTGCCTGTAAAGCGCATAAGACAAAACTTTTCACTGTATTTCGGTACACATAATGATAATAAATCAATTCAAATTACACTGGAAGAAGTAGATGAATTTGACTACTTGGGACAAATGAAAATAGAAAATGATGGATGCAGTGCCATAGTCAGAACAGGCTTAGAGATAACCATAAGCAATTTTGTGAAAGAGAATGATGTGTTAACAGCAGGAAAAGAGCTCACAAGATGGTTCCTTCTACTGACTTTTCCATATGCTTGAGATACCTGGTCAATAAATAAATATCTGAGGAAGAAAAT